ATCGCCAGAGCCCAACAGGTCGAGGCTGCGGTGACCGAGAGCGGCCACTGCACTCCAGTCTGGGTGACAGAGTGAGACTCCAACTAAAAAAAATAAAAAAAAAAGTTTTTCCTTCATTCATTGGAATTCAATAAATTCCATTCGGAGAAACAATGTCCAGAAAGTTGGTATGCATGGAAGAAAACTCATGTGTGTGTGTGTGTGTGTGTGTGTGTGTGTGTTTGTATTTTGCCACCATGCCCGGCAAATTTTTGGATTTATTATAGAGATGAGGTCTCACCAAGTTGCTCAGGCTGGTCTCAAACCCCTGGGCTATCCTCACACCTCGATCTCCCAAAGTGCTGGGATTATAGGCATGGGCCACTGCGCCCAGCCGTGTGTGTGTGTGTGTGTGTGTGTGTGTATTTCAAACACCTTGCAGAGTTCGGCTGGTGGACTCCACTTCCGACAGGCCTCCCGGATCTTCCTGTCTATCCAGCAGTATTGTAGAAGAGAAGTCTCTCTTAGTCCTAGAGCATCTTCAAAGCAATACAAGAGGTTGACTTCTTGAGGTGTCCCAGCACAAAAATCAATCCAATTCTAATTTTTCAACATAACTAATGTATATAAAGAAAATAAGAAATCCTAGTTTGATTTTTAGTGCTGATTGAATGGTGATTTTTGTTTTGATATTGTTTTCTGTTTTCTTTTTTGGGTAGAATCAAGTCACGGAGAATAGTTTACTAAGCATTCAACTATATTAGCGTCCTTTGGGGGAAATCCAGAGAGTTAACTACTCTAAAACAGCTGGGGGGGACATATAGTTCCTAAATTGTTATAACGACCTATACAAAGGAAAGATTAAATCATACAGTTTCTGTCAGACTGCTTATTCCTTTGAAATTCTTGATAGAATCTAAGCTCCGAATCATTTCACATCCGTGGCTTATTTTTCCTCTTCGCCTTCCTTCTTCAAGCAAGGTGGTGGAATGCAGGGCCTACTCGTTAGACATGGGATCTTAGTTGTATGGCTTGTAATAATGATAGCCTTGACTTCTGGACCTTGTGGCTGCAGCTTCTGTTCTCCTTCTGATATAACTGTTCTGAGGCCTCGAGCTGACTAAAGCCAATAACAGAAGTGAGCAACAGACTTGAAACGTTGCTGGGCAAAACTGATAAACGGGAGCAGTGAGTCATAATGCAAGACACTGCCACAGAAAAGTGCGGTGTAACAGCTACTCTGAAGGACACAGTGTCATAGTAAGAGAAGAGGAGGGAAAGGACTAAGGTATAATATATCTGGGAGTCGGGCATATTTCTGTTTCTCTGAGGTACCCAGAAGAAGGGAGAAACATTAGAAGGATTTTTTTGCTCCTTTTCTTTCCTTATATTCTCTGGATTCTGGACTCTTGTTGAATAAACTGAACAGAGTTACACTGGCTGAATCCCAAAACATAAAAAATAAAACAACTTTTATTTAATGACACATGAGTTTAAACATGAGTTAAAAAAGAAACGTGAGTTTATTTTTTCTTAAGGTCCTTGGGTTCAAGTCAGTACTGGAGAAGGTAAAATATCCCCACCAGATTTAGTAGCAGCCACACATAAGTTTTACTTCTGACATCCCTGTAGAATCTTGTTTGATTCTCTGGCATAATTTTTTCCTTGCTCCAACTTTTGTCAGATTCTGTAGAATCAAACTGACTTATGTCTGATCTGCTGAGTCTCTTGTGTGAGTGGAATTATTCTTTTGTTCTCAAGGCAAGATTTACATATTATTTTGAGATATGTGTGATGTTCCTAGTATCATACTGGAGTTTAAGCAGCTATCAAAAGAGCAAAAAAAAAAAAAAAAAAAAAAAGGGAAAAAAGAGCTCTGTTGTTCTATTAAAACTGAAATTTTAGCCGGGCTCGGTGGCTCAGCCTGTAATCCCGCGCCTTGGGAGGCCGAGGTGAGTGAATTGCCTGAGCCCGAGGGTTCGAGACCC